GTCTTGTGTAGATTAAAATCTACTCTATATACCGTACATGCAAAATCTAGTTTTCAATCTTGTTCTTGGTGCATTGAAAGTCAGAAAGCTGCATCTTTTAGTCTATGATTAGGTCATGTTTGAGGCAGTTATGTCTAATATATTTTTAAAGGATTGTTGAACACACACACACAAAGGCCTAGTGCATTCATTTGTGGTTATAAAAAACTATTTTGTGAATAACTAATAAAAGAATAATTGGTAATGTATTTACAGACTTTTAAAAAATTGTATTTCAGCATGTATTAACAAAAAATATAGATCTGATCTTAGTCTAAGTTTTTCTTGTTACTGTTATATATAACAGTCAGTGCCTGCATGATGAAATATGTGGATCTTGGAAGGTGTTCAAACTTCAGAAAGAAAATGGTAAGTACTTGTATTTATTTATTTTTAAATAGCACTTTACAATTATCTGAGAAAAAACATTATTCATTTTAAAATTACCTAATTGATTTCTAAATGAAATTGTTTCTTTTTCTTCAGTAGTGCAATCTCAGTCAAATCTTGAAGACTCTTTGGATGTCAGTCCCATATGCTCAAATTCAAAGGTAAAGAGCTTTTACATATAAACATTTTTAAAATTTTCATTGAATCTTATGTTATCTGCATTGTATAATTTGTTTTTTAATAATATACCCTGCTAATTAATTTTAGACTCATTTTAGAAATTAAGTATTTCAGCCCCATGTTGTTGTTTTTTCAGGCCCAAACAATTTCCTTCACTAATCAAAAATACATTGTAAATAGCTGTGTGATTGTTAAGTATGGAGAAATATTCTATCCAGGTATAATTTTTTGCACTGTGTACCTTTTAATTTCAATAAACAAGTTCAAATTATGTTTTAGATTGAAGTATTAACTTTTCAACATTGCTGGTAATCTATTCTAACAGGAGTTGTGATAGAAGTCCTAGATGATCAGCGCAGAAATAATTTTTTAAAAAGGCACAGAAATAAAAAATATATTTGTATATCCAGAAGTGCAGGACATACAGTTAGTGTATGCAGACATGGTTGTTACTGAAGTGATGTTGATACCAAATGGCAATAGAGTGGAATGTTTTGATTTCTGAATTTGTCAAATAAAATTTGTGTACAGTTTTATGCATTTTCTTTTCTTTCTTTTTTTTTTCAAACCTTTTTCTGTGTGTTAAAACTAACAAAAGATATAAAATATATATTTGTCAATAATTTAAAATAATAATGATCATTCACTTGTGCACAGATAAGACAAAAATGTACACTTATAAACATTATTTTAAAAAATGGTGTCCCATGAAGCACCTGCGACATTTTGTGAAATTAAAGCAGCATTTTTACCAATGGGTACTTTATGACAAGAATAGTGAACTTAATAATAAGTCTAATGGATCACTTTAGTGCAAAAATAAAATAGTTTCTATATTCTCACAGAATATCTTTTAAAAAAACTTTAACTTGTAGTATCACAGGTGCTACGGTGTCCCAATTTTTGAATTGAGCGCAAATCCACTTTTCTATGCAAAAGCATAAATTTCAGTATCTAAAGACTAATAACAATAAAGACGGTTATATTATGCTAAAATACAATGAATTTATCAATTGGTAGTTGTTAAATTATCAAGTGGTGTCCGGGTGATGCACCTGTGACGCAAAAGGGGGTACCCCATGAATAGACACTGCTGTCAAAATCTACATCTTGCAATTCATTTTCTATTGATAAATTCTTAAAGTGAACTGGTTGTAGAAGTGAAAACAGTTGAAATGAAACCAAAAACTTCAACTTTTTAATTTTTAGAATAATGTGACACTTTTTGGCACCAGTACTGGAGAAACTCATATATAGATCTAGATTCTATATTATATCTTAAAACCATTTCAAGTTAAATACTAGATCTAGATCTCTATAATTATAGTATAATAGAATCTGGATTCTAATACATATAGGGTAACTTTTTTTTTTAGATATAGAGTACTCTAGTAGATCAAGAGACTTACGACTAAGTTACACTTTACAGTTAAGTAGGCAAAATCTGTCAAAGTCTAACCAAGAAGGCAGGCCAAGATCTTGATCTATAGATCTAGATATATATCTATCTAGATTCTACATGGTCCTGAATTAGGAATAGTCATCATTTTTACTGTAGTAGTCTGTCATCCCTGTAGTAGGGGTAGTCACACTTTAGTTACTTGTTACTGTCACTAGTGTTACTGTGGTACAGTAACAACAGTGTCTTACCGTCTTCTGTCTGTCCCTTGTCAGTCACCAGACAGAGTCAGTCAGTGGTATGGTGGATGTAAATTTAATAAAATCATCATCAACATTTAATAGATCTAGAATCACTAAGAGTAAGAATTTAGAGATCTAAAATCTAATGATTCTAATCATCTAGATCTAGAATTTTAGAATCTATATCTATAGTCTAGATTCTATATTTTTTCTATTAGTAATGTCTTAAGTCTAGATTCTAGATATTCAACTCTAGTAGGTCTAAGTCTACTCGAAGTATAGATTTAGATCTAGTAATCTAGTATTACTAGTAACTAGATCTACATCAGTAGTACTAGTAGTAGTTGATCTAGATCTAGTATAGAATCTTGATTAGTAATCTAGAATCTAGATGTACATTATATCTAGAATCTAATTTATAGATATATATTTAACTAATTCTAATTAGATATATCTAATAGACATACTGTCAGATAGATCTATTAATATTATAATTTATATGATTATATCTATAATAACACTATTATTAATTAAAATATATTTATTAGATTAGATCTAGAATAATCTAGATTCTAGATCTGTAATAAAAATATCTAATTTTATTTAATATTATTGCTCAATTACAATTACTGAAACTTAGGTATGATTAGAAACTTTAGTTATTATAGCTAGATTAGATATATGTCTATATGACTAGATCTATAATATTAATAATACTATAGTCAGTATAGTACTTTAGTTAAGTCAACGTAAGTATAGTTAATAGTATAGTATTATTGTATTAATATTAATTATAATATTTATTAGATTAGAATTCTAGATTCTACTATATTAGATGTCTACTTTGACAAAGAGTCTCAGACTAAGTAAGAGTAAGTTAATTAGGACTTAGTTAACTTAGATCTAGTAAAGATGTAATTTAATAATAATAATTAATATTATTCAACTTATTGCTCAATTACAATTACTGAAACTTAGCCGACTTAGGTATGATCAGAAACTTACACTTACAGCATGCGGCATTGCACTAAATTTAGTAAAATATCCAAATGTTTTTGTGTAGAAATATTTATTATCATTTATATAGATCTATCCATACACCAACACTTGTTTACTGTTAACAGCATCCCTCTTGCAAACAAAAGGAACATTAAGCCTGCCTATCTCAGTATCTGCTATGCCTTGAAATCGAGTCACTTTCGGAACGTTACTTTTTTTTTTTTTTTTTTCCGTAATCAGTAGATCTAAGAATAAGAAGGAAAATTAATTCTACATTTGTCTACTTTTAATTTTATGAAAATAACATTCTAGATCTATATACTTTACTTAAAATCGAATTTTACAAAATGATTGATCTCAGATTTATTTAAATGATTTTTTTTATTTATTCTGTACGTAGAGATCTAGATCTATTTCTTTTCATATATTTATAGTGTGAACGGTTGATATTTTAATAATTTTACGTTGTCGGTGTCATGTGACCATTTCAAAATGGCCACTTTCCTGAGAAGATAAATAGTTAAAAAACTTTAGTACAAACTTAATCTAGATGTCTGATCTAGATCTACTCTATAGATTTACATCAAACCTTGACTAACATAGATCTAACTGCAGTGTTGTATTTAAATTGAAAAAAAGTGTTGTTTTTTTTGGGGTATGTATTAATATTAATGTTTTAATTTTAAGAATTGTAGAATAATTTTAAAGGGAAACTCCGATAGTTTTGACAATTTTTGATATAATATGTGTTTTGATTTACAGATAATGAATATATGATTCTTTTTTTTTCTTTGCAATAATAACTTAGTAATTGATGTTTTTCCGACGTAATTTTCCTGCGCATCCAAAACAGTCAGACATTCACCGGGTTTCTATGACTATGTGATGTCACAAATGTGTTTTAATCTATTGGCTTATTGTATAACAGGAGACCATACAGTAAAGTTTACATTCTCGTAAAAGAAATATATCTTGGTCTAGCAGTTAGATCTAGATCTTGTAAGCAAAGAAACATTGCGTATTAAAATTAGATTTACTTGCTTGACATTGTGTATTTTATCGCCAGACCACTCAACACACAACAAACACAATCACTTGGTTGGCTTGTCATGACCGACTAAACGTAGTCTCGACTAGCCTTACACTGACCAGTTTGTTCAAATCAGTCAGACACACGACCTATTTACTTCTTGGGACAGAGAGAGGCTTAGATGAAAATGTTACTCTTTTTCTTGAGTTGATTAACCTAATGCTTTTAGATCGATCTATGCATATATATATATATAACTGTATCATAGCTCTGGACTAGGCCGTCACTAAGCCTAACAGCTACTGTAAGAATGAAGCGATACAATTGGTCAAATCTAGTTTCTCTTTCAGTATTGTTGAGGGAAGTGACGTATGAACTAGCTTAAAACAAAATCTCATAGAACCCTGTTTTTTTGGAGATGTCAAGAATTTACTGACTAATTTATTAAATATAAATGTTTCTAAGCATTTAAATAGAAGATGGTAAAATGTTTACTATTGCAACTTTTTAGGCAGAATTTAAATATGTCAATAACTCAAATTTGAAAAACCATCGGAGTTTCCCTTTAAGCTAGTCACTAGAGTTAGAGAGTTTAGACTAAGACTAAGTTTAGAGAGAATAAATTATAAGACTTTTAAGTTAGACTCAAAGATTGTTATTGTTACTAGACTCTTAGCACTCTAGATGTCTACTAGATCTACATCTATGATCTAGGTCTAGTAGATTAACTTAGTGTTTAGACTTAGAATGACTTAGATTTAGATAGATCTAGAAGTCTAGAGTCAAAAGAGTCTAGGTAGATCTAAAAAATAAAAGCTCAGCTGCAAATACTGATTATATCAGCAAAGATTACTATTACTAAGAAAACTGTCCTTGTTTAATGTTAGCGAAAAGGTCTTGACTATGTTTTATCACAGTCACATCTGCAATATTTTAAGTTTCAATATCACAGCCTGGTATGGCAATCTGAGCATTAAAAATAAAAATAAACTTTATAGAATCCTAAATGCTGCTGGTAAAATCATTGGCAAAAAACAAGATCCTCGAAATAAAGAATCACCCTTTGTGTCAGGATTTTGTGATTTTACCATCACAAAAGTGATACAAGACACTGATAGCAAAGACAAACAGACACAAAAACTCTTTTGTTCCCCTGGCAATCAAATCATTTAATAAGAACAATCTGGTATAAACTTTGTCACATGTAAACTATGAGTGAGTCTGGTGTGAATTTACACTTCGGTTTCTTATAGTTATAATGTTTTTTGTTTGGTGTAATGCACAAATTGTAAGACAAATTTCCATACGGATAATAAAGATTATTATTATTATTATTATCACCACTGCCACTATCACTACGACACTACTTAAACTTACTTACTATAACTTAGACTTAGTATATATTATATAGAATAATAGTTAATACTCAATTAATATATCTACTATCATCTATCATCTACTACTAATATTACTCATAATAATAATACTATATTATATACATATACTATCCTAGATGATCTAAAATCTAACTTAATCTAAGTAATTAGATCTAAATATCTAATACAAAAAATGCATAGCAGGGCGGCATAGGTGACAATATATGATCATGATGATTTATTGTGATTCAACTCAACTGTTAGATCTAATGTCTGTAGATTATCATTGATAGATGCTAAGATTCTGTTAATCAAACTTAATCATCATACTTAGTAATATTTAATAATAATATATAGTGTACAGACGCACTTTAGGGGACAGCTAGTGAACATGCAATTGTGATGACTTGAATTTGAATTCAAACTATTCAAAGTGAGACTGTGGCTTAGATATCAAAAAAAGGACAGTTGAAGCTAGGCTTTCATATGAGCAACATCTTTGTATACTTTGTTATATTGACTGAGACTAGACCATTCCGGTTTTGAATTTAAAAACATTCATATTTGATTTATGCCTGTTGATTTACTGTATATATCTGGATCTGTGAGTCTGTTAATAAGAACTCAGAGTAATACCAATCGTACAGAAACACTCAATCTTCAGCTCAACACAAACTCTACAGACACAGATTAGACATAATGTAATAGATCTAGTAAGTCTAGTAGATATCTATATTTATAGTCAGTTATCAGTTAAGACAGTATCATACAATATAATATATCTAGTAATATAAATATAAACTAGATCTAGACATAAATATTTAGATTTTAGATCTAGAATCTACTACTATTGTGATTTAATAATGAAATTACATTAGAATATTAGTTAGTATTAGTCAATTTAGATTATGATTTAATCATCTAGATCTAGTCAGAGTTAAGAATTAGATTATCATTGAAAGATGCTAAGATTCTGTTAATCATCTCAGTGTGCTTTTCAATGGATTTAACTAAAAAAGTTTTTATTTTCTTCCTATTTTTCATAATGTCATAAATAGTAAGTCACCTGATGCCATAAATCAAAGAAATGGCTTTGGGAGTTTTATGTTTTCGTTTGCCACATTTACTGATCATCATTCAAGATGGGACAAAAATTTCAACACTCAACTTTTTCAGCATTAAACTTTTTCATCACTCAACTTTTTCAATACTAAAAAAATAGGGTATGCAAACTTTGGAATAGTAGTCACAGAATGACCATTAAGAACATATAACCACTTAACACAAGAAGAAGCATATTATATATATATATATGACAAGAGTTGAGCCTTGCATGTCAAAGCATACAGTGTCACCAAGTCAATGCACATCAGATTAATAGTGTAGGATTATCAAGGATCAACTGTATAACCATTGTCATTTATAAATTAAAATTGTTTTTAATATAAATAAAGAAAATTATAGTTGATGTAGAATAGATCTGAACTATAATCTAAAAAATGAATACATGATCATTCGTTCTTGTGTGATAATTAATTTACTATTTAAATTAGACTCAACTTTCAAACTGTTTCTGTGGCTTGGTTGAGCTTCCTGTGCATGGATCAGCTGGTTTCTAGATCTAGTTGTTGGCTTGTGGCATGTGCTCTTAGGTCTTATTAATGTCACTTGTAATATTTCATGTGACAGGCATCAACTGAGAATGATAGATCTAGATTTTCACACAGTCCTCACCTTGTACTTTACTACTCGAGTAATATACATTGTCACATTAATCTAGATAAAGTAAGTAAATACAACTCAATATACATTCTCACATCAATCTAGATAGATAAAGTAAGTAAAGACAACTCAATTCTAAGTTTTTTTCTTGGAGTTTAAAGATTAAGGAAGAATGCAGTATTCCACAAGACTATGGATGACAATCTATGGTTATCAGTATAAACTTTATAGAGGCGCAGGGGCTGAGTGGTAAAGCGTTTAACTTCCAGGTTTGAATCCTGGTGTAGATTCTGATTTTTACTTTCCAGATCTTTAGTGTACTTCTGAGGCCACCCAGCTCTAATGGGTACCTTACATTAGTTAGGGAAAAGTTAAAGCCATTGGTCTTGTGCTGGCCACATGACACCCTCGTTAATAGAAACATATGAGCTTTACATCACAAGGTCTGAATGGGGAAGTTTACTTTACTTTTTTTTTTATATACTTTACCACATGCACTGTAAATAAAAACATAGTCTGCTGGTGTCATTTGAATTTCTCTTTTCACTGTTTCCCTGTTTTCCCTCTTCAGTAGGTTACACTAAATGCATCACTATATTAGTTAGTAGATACTGAAAGTCAGTATCACAACATCAAAACGTTCTAAATAATCTAAAATTTAAAAATCTCAGATTTTTTATTTTAGCTACAGCATATACATGGTTATCCTAAGTAGCATCTTTTCTATTTCACATACAATATTTTGAAAAATATACTTTAAATTGTTTAATTACACAATTAAATATCAATGCTTTAAAATATTTTAATATTTTGCTAATTGCAGAAGTTGCATGAATATTTAAAGCTTTATAGAACATGGCCTCAATTTTGGACCAGTATGAAGAGGAATATAATAGAGGTGCAGTCCGGAGACCCAACCAAGTTGGTGAATTGGTAAGAGTTTACAGAAAAATTAGTACAATTAAATGCTTTGGCAAAACTGTTTGAAATGCTTGACAGAGAGTTAGAGCCACAATATTAACAAACAATACTTTCCTGATCAATTGTAAAAATTAAAAACTGACATGATCTCTTGTGATCATTTGATCATCTTTGTTGTGAAGTTCTTAGCCCTGGTCTTCTTTGGTGGTGGTGTGGGGTTTGGGACTTACTGCTGACTCTTTTAAAAAAAGAATATCATCTTATGTGGTCTTTTACTCTCCTTATGGAAAAGACACATTGGTCCTGTTCTCTCCTTATCTCGTTTTCTTTGCTTCACTTTTTTGCAATTAATGCTTTAAAGAAATACATCTCCTGATTTATTAATTTATATAAGTTAACGCTAAGTTACCAGCACCATTGTATTATACATGATGCTTTTGCCATTAGAATTTTATTTTACTAGATAACTAGTTGGTCTTTTTTTTCCCCAGTGTAAACAGAGAAAAAGTAGTGTGTATTATCAATCTGTTCTTTTTTTTTTTTTTTTTTCCAAAGATAGGTCCGGGCTTTATTGATGCAAGATTGGATGCAGATGTGCCCATTTTCAATAAAAAGAAAGTCAACTTTAAGTAAGTTAACTCCTAGAGATTTTTTGTTTTGTGATGCCAGGTTTAAATATGACAAAGAGTTATAAATATAGCCCAGTTAGCTATAAACTGTCTTTGTACAGGCTTAACATGTATAAGAAAGAATTCTAAAAAGATATCTATTTAATCTGGACTGCTGCCTGGTTGTGTAGTATGTGCTTTGGACTGTCATCACAATGGTACCAAGTTCTAACCCTGCCCACTTCCATCTCCTGCCATTCTGCAAGGGGTTTGTCTCGACATAACAATCATCATTTCAGATGGAACACTTGAAACTTATAAAACAAAACATCTTTCGTGTTCATTCTTAACCTAGTTATTTGTACTATGACACACTGTGAATTATATACTTTTATTCAATCTATATTTTTCTATTATTAATGTCCAGACCTCAAGATCCTATTACACATCTTGTTGTGGCCAATAATTTTCTAGTGATGGCACAGAGCAGCAACATTTTGCTTCGTCTTGATTTAGAGCACCCTGATCAGCCAGATGGTGAGTCCCTAGAAATAGTATTGACCATCATACTTAGTTTTTTTGTTTCTCCTTTTTCTTATCAGAGAGTTTACATTAGTATATTTTTATTCAATATAATAGATTTAACCCTACCAGCCCTGAGCAAGAAAACAGGCAGTCCCCTTTGTTCTGAGCTCCCGAGGGCCACGTCCCTCTTTACGTTATATCTTTGAAGCTCTAGATCTGATGAAAATCAAAATTTTTTCCTATCAATTGATCTCTCACAGTACCATTCAATGAAAGTAATAATAATAATAATAATAATCTTTATTGTCCGTATGGAAATTTGTCTTACAATTTGTGCATTACACCAAACAAAAAACATTATAACTATAAGAAACCAAAGTGTTCATTCACACCAAACAGTGTTCTTTATGAAATCCTTACTTCTATGAGTCTAAATTTACTAATATATCAATCAACTTAGGATTATTACAAACCAAGTCCTACCTGGTTCATGTTTATTGCTAATTGTCCTGTAAAACCACACCAATTCATTTTAACCACATGGGCACAGCCACTTACAAAGCTTAACATATAGTTTTATCATGATTAGTTGGTTATTCTTAGATTCTGTCTCATTTTTTAAAATGAAATCCTCAAGTACTGAAA